TAAACATGCAAAAATTGGGGTTTTATCCATTCTATTATTGATAAATGTTTCTGTGGTTTCCACTAAATGACATAATGAGTGCGTATGAACATTCATGTTCTGTGCACATGCCTACATTTCTGTTAGGTATATTTCAAGAGAGGAAATGTTGGTAATAATGCCAAAATATTTTCCAAAGTGACAAAGACAGGACATGGGAATTGCCTTTTTTATCATTTTGATAACATTTTAAATTGTCAGTAATTTTGATATTAGCCATTCCAGGAGTGTAGCAGTATCTCATGATATTTTAATTTGAATTTCACTTGTGCCTAAATGAGTCCGAGTGCCAGGCTATATGTTTATTTGCCATTTGGATATCATCTTTCATAACATATTTTTAAAAATGTATTTCTAAATAAAATTATTTTCTAATTGTTGGTTGTAGGGGAATGATTGATGCCAAAGATTTATGTTTCTCTATCCTTCACTTCAAGCAAATATTGTTGATCTTTAGAAAGGTACCTGTGATATTAGTTATTAGATATTAGTTATACCCTATATTAATTATTTGCAGTTGGCAGATTAATTTTAATGACCTCACCCACCATTTCTAGAACACTTTTGCCTCATTTGTATATATAAATCTATATATACAAGAGGCCCAGTACATGAAATTTGTGCACTGAGGGGGGTGTCCTTCAGTCCAGCCTGCATCCTCTCCAATCTGGGACGCCTTGGGGAATGTCTGACTGCTGGTTGAAGCCTGATTCCAACTCTCACCTGCCTGCCAGCCTGATCACACCCTAACCACTCCCTGCCAACCTGATCAACACCTAACTGCACCCCTGCTGACCCAATTGTCCCAACTCACCTCCCCTGCCAGCCCGATTGCCCCTAATTGCCCTCCCCTGACAGTCTAGTTGCTCCCAACTGCCCTCCTCTGCAGGCCTGGTCCCTCCCAACTGCCCTCCCCTGAAGGCCTGGTTGCCCCTACCTGCCCTCCCCTTCTGGCCCAGTCACCCCCAATAGCCCTCTGCTGCCAGCCTGGTTGCTCCCAACTGCCCTCCCCTGCAAGCCATCTTGTCGCAGCCATCTTTGACCACATGGGGACAGCCATGTGTGAGAGAGTGAGGGTTGATTTGCATATTACCTCTTTATTATATAGGATAAAAATCTAAGTGACTCTTCAACCATTCAACCATTCGACCAGTTGCTATGACTGACACTGACCACCAGGGGGAAGATGCTCAATGCAGGAGCTGCCCCCTGATGGTCAGTGTGCTACCACAGCGTACCACTCAGCTGACTGGTGGGTACCAGACACGAGGCTCATGGCTAGCAAGCACTGCTGTGGCAAGTGCGAGCTTCTCCTATAGACACTCCCCCTATGTACCTCTCCCCATTTGTACCTGGACCAGGATCCGGATCAGCATTGGGATTGACTGGGCATGAGCCCACAGCCTCTTCTCAGTCATGAGCATGCTCGTATTGCCCTAAGATGGGCACATGGAGACCTGAGGGGAGCAGCAGGTAGCTTACTTACCAGTGGTGGCAGCAGGCACAGCAGGGCCAGGATAAGCAGGAGCAGCACAGGGACCAGCCAGGGCTCAGGCTCCTCCCTGACCACCTGTTGCTTCACGTAATACTACATCCTTGGGGGAGTGTGAGGAGGGGGATGCATGGGGGTAGTGTGAGGAATGTGTGGGGGAAATTTGAAGAATGGGAGTGCATGGAAGGAATGTGAGAAGGGGAAGTGTATGGGTGAGTGTGAGGAGAGGGAGTGCATGGGAGAAGTATGATGAGGGGATGCATGGGAGGAGTGTGAGGAATGGAGTGCATGGGAGGAGGAGGAGGAGGAGGAGGAGGAGGAGGAAGGGGATGTATAGGTAGAATGAGAGGAGAGGGAGTGTATGAGGGGATGTACAGCTTACCTCCAGGGATCCCAGAGATTGGTGCACCTCTGATAGCACTATAAAGTGCTATTGTAGGAACAGGCATACTTTTTCTCAGCCACATTCATCTATTTTCTAGTAGGCTATCATTGTTTCCCCCAGTTTGATGCTACCTCTTTCTATATTCACTATCATGGGAGCTTCCGGACTTGTGATTCTTATTCAATATCTATGATCCTCTAAGGCAAGGGTGGGGAACCGGTTTTCTGCCAAGGGTCATTTGGATATTTAAAACATTATTCAGGGGCCATAAAAAATATCAACTTAAAAATTAGTCTACTATGCTCTAGCCAGTTTTGCTCAGTGGATAGAGTGTTGCCCTGTGGACTGAAGGGTCCAGGGTTCGATTCCAGACAAGGGCATGTAGCTAGGATGTAGACCTGATCCCTGGCCCTGATCGGGGCAGGTGTGGGGAGTCAACCAATTGACATGTTTCTCTCATATGGATATTTCTCTCTCTCTCTGTCTCTCCCCCTCCCTTCTGCTGTCTAAAAATCAATGAAAACATATCCTCTGGTGAGGATTAAACAAATAAATAAATAAAAATTATCCTGCTACATTTGGTCAGACATGTTATTAACTCTTACCTGATGACCTAGCAGGGCCAGACCAAATGATTTCATGGTCCCATATGGCCCAAGGGCCAGACTCAGAGTCCCCACCCCCCTGCACTGAGGCCAACCTAAAGGAGAAAAGATGCTAACAGCAGACATTTGACTAAAATCAGGCTCCTATCAGTATTTGTATCTTCTGGGTCAGTTGTATTTCCTTTTCAATGCCTGACACATGTTGGATTTTATTCTTTTATTTATTTTTTTGTTTGTCTTACAAAGACAGTTTTTAGTTTTTAATGAACTTGTAAACAAAAAAGCTTCCATTTCAAAATAAAGACCAAGTCCCAGATCATATAGATGTTTACAGTGACTACATTTATATAAGCAACATACATATTCAGTTTTAAGATGTTAACTAAATTTCTGTGACAAATATGCTTTTTTAAATACTAAGAACATTATGCAGAGTCCTACAAATAATCATATAGTAACTAAGTCCTACAAATAATCATATAGTAACTAAGTCCTAAAAATAATATAATAGAAACTAAGTCCTACAAATAATCTAATAGTAACTAAGTCCTACAAATAATATAATAGTAACTAAGTTTTTCTTAAGACTTTACTTTAGAAGCTATTATTTCTAGCATAGGTAGGCAGGCAGTCTTACATCTGCTCAAACACTGCAATCTTTGGTTGCAAATAATAAGCCAACCATTTTAAGAATGTTTTAAGCCCTGACCAGTTTGGCTCTGTGGATAGAGCGTTGTCCTGCAGACCGAAGGGTCCAGGGTTCTATTCCAGACAAGGCATGTACTTAGGTTGTAGGCTAGATCCCTGGCCCTGGTCAGGGCACGTGCGGAGAAGCAACTAAGCGACGTGTCTCTCTCATATAAATATTTCTCTTTCTGTCTTTCCCTCTCACTTCCACTCTGTCTGAAAATCAATGGTAATATATCCTTGAGAATTAACAACAAAATATTAACCTGCTATATTTGGTAAAACATGTTATTAACTCTTCCCTGAATACTTGGCAAGGCCAGACCAAATGATTTCATGGCCCCCTATGGCCCGAGGGCCAGACTCAGTCACCCCTGCTTTTAGGCCTACCAAAAGGAGAAAGGAGGCTAACAGCAGACATTTGACTAAAATCAGGCTCCTATCAGTATTTGTATCTTCTGGGTCAGTCATCTTTCCTTCTCAATGCCTGACACGTGTTAGATTTTATTTTTACTTACAGAAACAGTTTTTAATTTTTAATTAACTTATAAACACAAGAGCTCCCATTTCAAAATAAATACAAAATCCTAGATTATATAGAAGTTTACATCGACTACATTTATCTAAACAACATCCTATAAAACAAATAGCTAATATGCTAATTATACCAAACAGCAGAATGACCATCCAGAGGACATTCCAGACATTCGGGATGAAGGCCAGCCAAGGCAGCTTGGCTGCGAGGGCCGAGCCCCTTGCACGATTTTCATGCACTGGCCCTCTACTACATATATATTCAGTTTTAAGATGTTAACTAAATATGCTTTTTAAAATACCAAGAACATTAAAGATTTAATGCAGAGTCCTACAAATAATTTAATAGTAACTAAGTCCTACAAATAATCTAATAGTAAGTAAGTCCTACAAATTATCTAATAGTAACTAAGTCCTACAAATAATCTAATAGTAACTAAGTTTTTCTTAAGTCTTCACTTTAGAAGCTTTTATTTCCAGCACCAGTAAGCAGGTAGTCTTACATCTGCTCAAACACTGGAATCTTTGGTTGCTACCATATCCGCTGGCTTGCAAACAAAAGCCAACCATTTTAAGAATGTTTAAGCCCTGACCGGTTTGGCTCTGTAGATAAGAGCACTGGCCTGTACACTCAAGGGTCCCAGGTTTGATTCTGGTCAGGGGCATATTCCTTGGTGTACAAGGTGCCTAACCTTAACTATTTTTAAAACTACTTTAAGTATGCAGGCACATACCCAGTAAGGAGTGTGCTTAAAAGAAAAAAAAAATAATGTTTTAAGTGAAGAACTTACAAACCCCAGGGGTGGATAAACCCTAAAAATGCACAATTGTATTTACAACCATCAAAATTGTAACTGAAGATTGTTTACGCCGTTCTGAAATGAAATCTCAAAGCAGTATAGTTGAAAGATAAAGATTTTTAACAAAAAAACAGCATACGCACAATTTCTCCACCAGTTTGTGGTGTCAACCACTTAGTTAACTTTTCCACTTGAAAAAAATAAAAATAAAAAACCACACAAACTGCAATACAAAACTGGACACCATGTTTCACCATCTCAATTAATATCCACAATGACAGCAGCTACTCCGGAGGCAAGATCACCAATGCTGCCCAGAGCCAGTTCATACTGAAATGAAGTCCTTTATGTCAAGTAAACGGTTGTCCACAACAACTGGCTGGTGTCCATATGAACTAAACTGTCTAGATTTGGGGAGAAACGAATGCTGCTCCGATGACCTGCTCCTTGTTTCCTGCTTAGCATCCAGTGGGGGGTTGGGCCTGCAGAGCCGGCCCGCTTGAAGGGGCTGCATGCTGCTGAGCTGGCTTCTGCTTAAACGTGGCCCAGTCGAATTTGTTGTCGTATTGGTGGCCCAGGGTTCTGAAGAGCATGCGGAACAGCTGCCTCAGATACGCGTAATCTGGGGTTTCCTCAAAGCGCAGCCCACGGCAGTAGTTTAAGTACATGGCGAATTCTTCAGGAAAGCCCTTGCATAGATCTTCCACGGGAATGGCCATCTTCCTCTCGCAGATTTTTTCGTTTTTCTGTTTCTTGGTTGAGGCCTTTAACCCTTGCCAAGGCAGGCTGCTTCTATTGAAATACATCAAGACGTAGCCTAAGGATTCCATGTCATCCCGGCGACTCTGCTCAATGCCGAGGTGGGCGTTGATGCTGGCATAGCGGGCGGTGCCGGTGAGATCTTTATCTTCTCGGTACGCTATGTGCTGCCTTGTCTTGTTGTCTCGGTACTTTTTGGCTAGACCGTAATCAATGAGGTATAGCTGGCTTAAGTCCGCGAAAGACGTGCCCTGAGCAGCACTAACAGTCATGCTTCTTTTCCTCTTCCCCACTGGAGACGACTCTAAGCAATTATCGCAGTAACATCCAACGCCCATCACGAAATTATCAGGTTTAATGTCTCTGTGAATAAAGTTTTTTGAATGCACGTACTCGAGTCTGCTGATCATCTGGTCGGCTAGCATCAGCACCGTTTTCATGGAGAATCTTCTGGAACAGTAATTGAAGAGATCTTCCAGGCTGGGCCCAAGGAGATCCATGACCAGCACGTTGTATTCTTTTTCTTGGCCAAACCACCATGTGCGGGGGATGCCCACCCCGCCCCGCAGGACCTTGTAGAGGCTGTTCTCGTACAGCAGCTGTGGGTGCCGGGCCTTCTGAGACTCCAGCTTCACCGCCACCTCCTCGCCAGTGGTGATGTTGAGCGCCCGATAAATGTTCCCGAAGGACCCGGCCCCGATCTTCCTTATCAGTTTGTATTTCCCTCCCACAATAAACTCATTCTTGGACTCGCTGCTGCTCGCCATTCTGGGAGACGAAGGCGGAGGCTGGGGCCTACGTAGCCCGGACACCTCGGAGAGGACGGACGGAGGACGGACGCGGGCCTCTGGGCCGGTCCCCTGAACTGGGCTGCAGAGGAGCGGGGGTTGGCAGGGAATCGAACACGATGGTTTATGGCGTCACAATGCCCCCCCGAATTCGCCAAGGGGAACTGATCGCTATGGCGCAGTCAGGTTTCTTGGCGCCACGCAGAAGTTAATGTGGGGAGCTCAGGGTCGGGCTGGACAGATGGTGTCCCGGTGGCCGCCACTGCCTCGCTGTCGAGGTGACCGCATGGTGGGCTGGAAAAGGGGTGGGGTGAGTTGGGGGGTGAGATCTCTGCCACCCTTGCCGCCCGGCTTCGGCCTGGAGGGACCGCTGTCACTCAGGCCAACGCTACGACCTTCCTACTCCGGCTGCAGCCAATGACAAATGACCCCGGCCTCGTCCCGAAAAGCCGTTATAACCGTTAGTCCACGGCGCAAAGCACTCTGGGAAACTGGGTTTTCCAAGGTGACCACCCATGTAGTGGGCTGGACAAGGTGGTACAGTTAGTGTGGTGAGATCATTGCCACCCTTGTCACCTGGCTCCGGCCTGGAGAGACTGCTGTCACTCAGGCCAACACCACCTTCTTCTTATTCCGGCTCCAGCCAGCGCAAAATGACCCCGGCCTTGACCCCGAAAAAACATTATAACTATTCCACGGCGCAAAGCACTCTGGGAAAGTGGATTTTCTATGTGTGCTCATCCTTTTCAGCTTTGAATGGGACCCTGCCATCACGTGTTAGATTTTCTTTTTTTCTTTTTTTTTTCTTCATAATATCTTAGCTTTATTGACTTTTCACAATATATCACCAATAGACCAATAACAGTTATGTCTGTATGTTTGCATTCAAAACATGCTTATGCATATTTATTCTTGCACACAGACATTTTATTTATTTATTTATTTATTTATTTATTTATTTATTATTTTTTTAAAATCAATCTTTATTGTTCATATTATTACAAAGGTTCCTCATTTCTTCCCCCCTCCACCATATTTTTTTCTTACAGACCTTCAGTTTTCTCCTTCCCGCAATTATGCACAAAGCCCTTGATATATCTTGCCTTTCAAACATGACACATTTTTTCTTTCTAGCCCTTCTGAGACATTGCTTTTCAGATCTACTGGTCCATGAAGCCACCTCAGTTAACTCTATATTTTCCCATGTTCTGACATGACACTTAAACACTCATAATGCTTAAGCCCCCTAATCTTTTATTTTTGTGATAATATACTGTCCGAATTTCATCCTATTTTTCAGAATTATTTACTTTTTTTTTCTCTCTTTTAAAGGGACTTCTTTCTTTTGCCATCCCCTAAATGTATATACCAACTCCTTTGAAAAGCAAAATTGTCATAATTCCATTATTTTTTCCACTCACTACCTAAACCTGGCTTCAAAGATCAGATTTCTACCTGAATTATGGGTCTCTAATTCTAACTGCCAATGGTTCACAAATCCAAAACTGTCAACCTAACATCACTTATATTTCTCAATTCAATATTTTAATGTCATCATTCTTCTCATTGTCCCTCAAGTTAGTAACCAAAATACTGTGTTTTTTTTTTTCCCCCCTTAAAATGTCCCTCAGATATTTCTTTTCCTTTCCACTTTCTCTTATTGGAGTATAGTGTGTGGACTATAGTTTTTATTCAAGGATTCATGGAGTTATGGGGAAGTGATAGAGAATCTGTGAATCTAGAGTGTGTGCATAATTTTTATATACCTATGTGAAATTATAAAGAAAGACCATTAGTTTCTTCAATGACTAAGGATCAATGTGCCAGATTCTCATAATCTTATACTGGGATTAATGTGGTAACTTTGGGGCTTACTAGGCTTACACTTTAAGATTGGGAGATCCAGGAGATGAATCATTTATGCAATATTCTCATGCAACCAATGTTAATTGGTTCATTGATAAATATTCATTGAGTATGTGGCAAATATCATTCCAGGCTCTGGGGTCACATTGGTGGACAACATAGAAAAAGTTCTTTCTCCTACAGAGCTTACATTTTAATGGATAAAGAAAAATCAAATAATCTAACAATAAACAAAAAATCAAGGAAATATAGTTAGCCCTATTTGCTGTTGATATAATTAAGTGAGGGGATTTCATGGTTACTGGGTATCTGTTTAAGAAAAGGTGGTCATAGAAAGACGCCTAATAACATGATAGCTCTAATTAACATGAGGAAACCGGCCATATGCAACCAGGGAAAAGCATTCCAACAGAGGTACACATTAATGCAAATGCCTAAAGGTTATAATAAGCTTGACATCTTGTAAGAGCAGAAGAAAACAATAGGTCAGGTTTGCTAAACCCCAGTGAACAAGAGGGGAAGTGTGGGTGTGGTCAAAGGGATACATAGGGGCAGATAATTTTGGAGTTTGGAAACTAGAACAGGGAGATTGGATTAAGTCTAAGCACAATGGAAACTTAAGCAGAAGAGAAGGAATCTAGTTTACATTGTATAAGGAACAAATACTTCTTTTAAAATATATAGTTTTATTGATTTCATAGCGAAAGGGAGAGGGAGAGAGATAAAAACATCAATGATAAGAAAGAATCATTGATTAGCTGCCTCCTGCATGCCCCCTACTGGGGATCAAGCCCACAACCCAGGCATATGCCCTTGACCAGAATCGAATCCAGGACCCTTCAGTTTGCAGGCATATTCTATCCACTGAGCCAAACTGGGTAGGGCCATGTGCCTATTTTTCTAATCAGATGAAAGATTGTGCCATTACATTTTAGCTCAGTCTTCACAACATTCATATGAAGCAGAAATAATTGAGATTTCATACTACAGATTAGGAAAGCAAGGCTGCTTCATCCAGCTCTTAAGAGCAGAACTAAAGCCCTAACTGGTTTGGCTCAGTGGATAGAGCGTTGGCCTGCAGACTGAAGGGTCCCAGGTTTGATTCCTGTCAAGGGCATGTACATTGTTTGCAGGCACATTCCCAGTGGGGAGTGTGTAGGATGCAGCTGTCAATATTTCTCTCTCACCAATGTTTCTAACTCTATATCCCTCTCCCTTCCACTCTAAAAATTCAATAATATATATATTTCTAAAAAAGAACAGAATTAAAATATGAATCTACTCTTCTCAACCCCAAAGCCATGCCACATTCCTCATTCCATATGCCATCCAGGCCTGTGCTATGAATTCTTACCCAAGGGAGAGGCTTACATTTGCTTAAGAAGTTCCTTAATACCTTAAGTGGCTTTAGAGGCCATCATTATGAGTTATCTTAAGGCTTAGTATGGCTGGATTTAGTGCTTTATGCTGGAATAAAGAAAAAAGTTAGAAAGTTGTATGCATGCAACCTCCAAAAAGCATGCTGCATCACCTTCTTAATGATCAACAATGCAAAAGTTGCTTTAACTACTTTTCAGGATGTGCTTATGATGGGCATATGACAAATGAATAACAAACAGGCACCTCTTGTATGAATACATAAATCTAAATTGAACACAAAAAAATTCAATTATGTCAATCAATAGAATATTTCTTTAAAATTATTATACCCTGTACAAATAAAAAGTTCAGTTTTTAAGCAACTTCTTCATAAAGATTAACTGTCACGGTATTATTTTTGCCTTAAAATATACCAGTGCACTCACATATACAAATGGAAAATGGCAATGATTCTTAGATAATATTAATAAACACCATTTTTTTTAAATAAAAGCAATTGGTGCACATCAGGAGTCACGATGATATATTTATGCAAACTGCCTTTGGCTAATAAACAAGGAGAATGTAAATGAAAATATACTGTGTCAACTGGATCGATGAAAGGTAATTTGTATAGATTTAAATTTTACCTGTCTACCTCAGGCAATCAGAGATTTCTTTCATAACTGTGTTGGAACATACTTTTGAGCAATTAAAACTCAATTGCTAACAAATAGCTTAGATTTTGAAATGGCATTTAAAAATTATATGCTTGAACATTTAGAAGAAATTAAAATCCTGTTTATATCTGATTGCTTATTATATAAGTCACTGAACATCTTCTGAGTTCAATTTCAATAATTTTCATGTGATATTGTCTAACATACTTAAAAATTCTAGGTTTTAAGGATGAGGGTAAAGATAAAACACACCTTTTTTATAAAACCATATAAACAGGATTATTTCCTATCAAGTAAAGTGACAGGCCTATGTATTTAGTCTTAACATGAAGAATCATGAGCACAAATTAAAGTATCATTTTTAAAATTTATTTTTATTATCGAGAGTACTACAGATATCCTCCACTTTTCCCCCATTGATCCCCTCCACACTGCTCCTGCCCCACCCTAGGCCTTCACCTCACTATTGTCTGTGTCCATGGACTATGTATATATGTATATAAGTTATTTGGTTAATCTCTTCATGACTCTCTTCCTTTCCTCTGAGATCTGTCAGTCTGTTCTATGTTTCCATGTCTCTAAAGAGGATATAAAAAAGGCCAAGAGACATATGAAAAATGCTCCAGATCACTAATTATTAGAGGATGGCTACCCTTAATAAATCAATAAGCAACAAATGCTGATGAGGATGTGGAGAAAAGGGAACCCTACTACACTGCTGGTGGGAATGCAGACTGGTACAATCACTATGGAACACAGTATGGCGTTTCCTCAAAAAATTAAAAATAGAGTTGCCATTTGACCCAGTGATCCCATTTCTGGCAATATATCCTAAGAAGTCTAAATCACCAACCACAAAGAATATATGCACCCCTATGTTCATAGCAGTGCAGTTTACAATAGCTAAAATCTGGAAACAGCCCAAGTGTCTATCAGTAGATGAATGGATAAATTAAGCTGTGGGGCATTTACACTATGGAACACTATGCTGCTATAAAAAGGAGGGATCTCTTACCCTTTGGATGGACCTGGAAAATATTATACTTAGTGAAATAAGCCAATCTGAGAAAGACA